GGGGGTGGAGGGGGGGGTCGCAGGGTCGGGGCCCGCCGCCGGGGAGCAGGATGCTGGTGGGGGGACTGCGCTCCCCTAGAGACCCCAGGGCACCTGCACCGCTTTGGGCAGGGGCGGGGCTACCGAGCCACAAAGGAGGCTTGCCTAAGGGAGTTTGTTTTTAGGGGATCGTTTCATGTATTTTTGGCCAATTGGGTTTTCCTGTGCTTGAATGCAGCGCCTTCTGGTCCCTGTGGGCTTGGGCCCCGCCCCCTGCCCCACCTGCCCTCCAGACAGTCCCCCCTCCCCCCTGCAGACACCAGGGGACCCGGGAGGGGGCTGGGAGGAACAGTGGCCCGTGGGATGGGGGGCACCAGGCAATCCCACCCCTGCTGGCTGGTGTGGGCGGGGGGCACCCAAGCCAGCCCAGAGCAGAGAGGGGTGACTAGAGGGACAGGTGAAGTGACCCTGGGGCGGGGCCAAGGTGCTGGCCTGCTGGCAGGTGCAGGAACCACGGCTGTCTGTCACACCCAGCAGATGCTTGATCGGCAGTGCGGGGCTCCCAGGTTTGCCTTGGAACTAGAAGCCTGGGCGGGCCCTTGTTGGGGTAACAGTGACGTGAGGGGGCCTTGGGGACCTTGACCCAGAAGCACGGGGTGGGGTGCTGTTCACTCAGCCTGCGCTTGCCTAGAGGGTGTGACTCGAGAGAGCGGCGTTTGGGACATAGGCGGGTGGCGGCTGAGGCTTGGAGCTGGGAGAGGTCAAGGGCAGGTGTGGCCGGTTGGGGCCGGGGCCGCAGGTGGCTGCTGGGGCGGCCGTTGCCACTTTGGCATTAAGCCAGAGTTTCCTCAAGCTCGACGAGGAGGGGTTGTGGGCAGGGGGCACTCGGAGCAGAATCCAAACTTCGGAATGATTTAAATTATTGTATCACGATAGAGATTCTCTGCGGTTCCCGAATGTCTGCGAACTGTCCTTTGTCACTGAAATCTGTCCTATGCTCCCAAAGCAGGAAAGCCAGACCTGCCAGCACTGCCCCTGCTCTGGGCTGACAGGCGGGGGCGGGGAGGGAGTGTCTGCACCCCCCCTGCAGGGAAGGGTGACCCGGGAGCCCGCAGACCCCCGGACCCCAGCGGAGGCTTGACCCCTGGAGGCAGAGTCCGTGATTCTTCTTAGGATCCTCTCCTCCGTTCACGACCAGGCGCCTTTAAAGGGATCTCCTTCGGTGGTTTTTACACAGATGTCTCCGTGCCCCTCTCCCACCCACCTGCCGTCTGGCCGTGTCCCTCCACGCACACCCTGGTGGCCGTGGCCTCTGTCAGTCTCCACCCTCCAGGAGGGCTGAGATCTGGCACCTTCTCTCACCCCTCCTGCCTTTCCTTTGACTTGTGGTTTTTCTCCACCTCCTTCCTTGGTTCCTCTTCCTCTTCCCTCCCCAAGCATGGGGTGGGGGGTGGGGAGGGCGGGTCTCAGGTCTTCATCCCAAGTAGCACTTCCGTGTGATGTCACTCCCAGGGAGAACAGGTGTGTTCGATGACACGGACGTCTGTCCCTTAGGCCTCCTGTTTCATGTAACCCGTGGCCACATGGAATACCTACTGGCCATTCCGGAGGCCTCTCAAGTTCCTCCTCGCTCCTCGACCCCCAGCCCTCGTCCCTCCTTCTCGGAAAGTGGTGTCCCCTGCTCCCCGTCGCCTGGCCCAGAAGGAACAAGGAGGAATGCAGGCTTTGGGGTGGGGCCACCTGGCTCGGACCCCAGTTCCGCCAATCCTGTGTGACCCTGCAGGTCCCTGGACCCCTCTGAGCCTCAGTTTCACAGCACATAAACTGTGCCCGTCTTAACAGATCTCTGGGGAAAGAATAAATAAAGGAGATACTCCACGGGAGTATCCACTCCCACCTCCACGGGACGTGGCCACACAGGTGACACTAAGAAGGAGCCACACCCACCTCCACGCCCAAGCTCCGTCAGTGACAGGATCCTTGGGCTCCACCCTGAACTCCCCCAGCAGCCCCCTTCCTGTCCTGTCACCCTCGTGCTCTCCTGCTCCAGTCCAGCTGCAGAACACCTTGCAAAAACGCCACAGCTTGGGGCGCCGGCATGGCTCAGTCGGTTGAGTTTCCGACTTCAGCTCAGGTCACGATCTCACGGTTCGTGGGTTCGAGCCCCATGTCAGGCTCACTGCCCCCTTCGGATCCTCTGTCCCCCTCTCTCTGCCCCTCCCCTGCTCATTCTCTCTCTCTCTCTCTCTCTCAAAATAAATAAACTTTAAAAAAAGCTTTATAAAAAACATTTTAAAAACTTTTAAAATGCAACAGCTTTATTGAGAAATAATTCACATACCGTGTGATTCATTTGTTGAAAATGGATAATCAGTGGTTTGCAGCATATTCGCAGTGTCAGCCACCACCACAACCAACTTCAGAACATTTCTGTCCTCCCCAAAAGAAGCCCCGGGCCACCGACAGTCACTTTCCATTTCTGCCTCTGTCCCCAGCCCTAGGCAACCCCAAATCGACTTTCTGTCTGTATGGATTCGCTTATGCTGGACATTTTATATTCATGGAATCATACACTGGGTGCTCTTTTGGGACTGGCTTCTTTCACTTAGCGTGATGTTTGCAAGGCTTATCCATATTGTACCATGTTAGCATTCCTCTTTAGGGCCAATGATATTCCGCAGGATGGATGGTTATACCACATCTCGTTTACCCGTTCCCCAGATGATGGGCTGAACACCAAATGAGTTGTTTCTACCTTTTGGCAACTATGAATAATGCTGCCTATGAAGTTTGCGTACAAGTGTTTGTAAGGGCGTATGTTTTCATTTCTCTATATACCTAGCAGTCATATGGTACCTCGGTGTCTAACTTTTTGAGGAACTATTTCCCAAGGTGGCTGCACCATTTTATAATCCTCCCAGTGGAGTATGAGGGTTCCGTTTTCTCCACATCCTTGTCAACACTTATTATTTCTCTGTCTCTGTCTCTGTCTCTCTCTTTGTCTTTCTGTCTGTCTTTTTTACTATATACTTAGTGGGTATGAAGTGGTATGATTTTGATTTGCATCTCCCTGATGCTAATGATGTGCGTATTTTTCCGTGGGCTTATTGACCATTTGTATATCTTCTTTGGAGAAATGTCTATTCAGATCTTTTGCCCATTTTTTTTTAAATCTTTTTTAACATTTATTCATTTTTGAGAGACAGAGAGAGACAGAGCATGAGCGGGGAAGGACAGAGAGAGGGAGACACAGAATCCGAAGCAGGCTCCAGGCTTCAAGCTGTCAACACGCAGCCC